TCCCGAGGCTTCGACCTGGGAGTCCGAGTCCGACATGCGGAGCCGTTATCCTCATCTATTCCCTGACTCATGTACTTCCTTCTTCTGTCCATTCGAGGATGAACGGTTGTTTTAGAGGTGGAGAATGTGACGACCCAAAGGGTCATCACCTATTTTCTTATTCATTTCGAGCTTCTGAGGCCTTGAAAACCTCATTTACAGTCAACTCAATTTGCGTGCGCAGTCCGAGTGCATAGCCGAAAGCTCAAATATGAAATTCTATGAAAATTTGCTAAGTTTTGATATTAAAATGAATAAATTTGACTTCGGTCAACATTTTGGGTAAACGAACCCGGACCCATGATTTGACGGTCCCGGGAGGTCCGTAGGAAAATATGGGACTATGCCCGGAATCGAATTCCGAGGTCCCAAGCCCGAGAAATGAATTTTTGAGTAAAATTGTTTTTTGAAAATATTTAAGAAAAATGGAAATGAAATTTGATTAGAAAGTGATGGTATCGGGCCCGTATTTTGGTTCCGGCGCCCGGTACANAGCACTTTCTGTAAAGTTTGGTTGAAAATGGACGTCGTTTGACGTGTTTCGGACTCAAAATGAAAAATTTGATGTTTTATGAAATTTGAAGGAATTCTTAGATTTTAAAGCTTAATTCGCGGTATATGACGTTATTTAGGCGATTTGATCGCACGGTTAAGTTCGTAGGATGTTGTTGAGTTAGTGTATGTGTTTGGTTAGGAGCCCCGAGGGCTCGAGAGTGTTTTGGAGGTGTCTCGGAGTTATTTCGGAATTGCAGAAAATTTCAGAAAAATTGCAGAAATAGTACCCCGCGAACAGTCCCATGAATAGTACCCCGTGAACAGTACCCATGAATAGTACCGGTGAATAGTACCATGTGAATAGTATCCCGTGAATAGCAAAATGCGTGAACAGTACCCCGAAAACATTCTGGGCAGAATGTAACATTCTGGCCATGAACAGTATCTCATTTTCCATTTTTCTACAAATTGGAGCTCGGGGAGAGGCAATTTTTGGGACATTTTCAGAGAAAATAACGGGGTAAGTGTTCTTAACTTAATTTTGGTTAGATTACCCGAATCTATTACTAGTTTTGGCACTTAATTGGTGATTTTAGTTGGGAAAATCTTGAAAACCCTCTTAGTTTAATTTGAAGATTTGAGGGTCGAGTTGATGTCGGATTTTGGTAAAATTGGTATGGTTAGACTCGTGGTTGGATGAGGTTTCATATTCCGTAATTTTTGTCGGGTTCCAAAATGTGGGCCCCACGGCCGAATTTTTAGTGCAATTTCGAATTTTTAATGAAAAATGTAGAATTTCATATGGAATTAATTCCTATAATTTTTATTGACTGAATCAAATTATTTATGACTAGATTTGAGAATTTCGGACCCGGATTCACGAGGCAAAGGCTTATTGGAATTTTGAATCGGTTGCAAAGCGAGGTAAGTGTTTGGTCTAACCTTAGCTTGAGGGAATATGAGTTGAGTCTTAATTGCTACTTGCCATTTGTCGAGTACGATGTATAGGCATGGTGACGAGTATCTATACGTTGGTGTCTTGCATGACCGTGAGTCCTTATATCGTGAATATTCGAATTTTGTTATATCTTCCATGATTAAATGATGACTTCTATATGTTATGAAGTGCATGTGAAAGAAATGGTGATATTTAATATTTGAGGAGCGTTGGCTCAAGTTATAAAATGAATTACTAAGTAAGAAATGAAAGAAAGAGAAAGAATTATTGAGTTATTCCCTTGCCGAGATAATTGTGGAATTGTTGATATATTCCTTGTCAGGAATCTTATTGTTAATTATTGTGCCCTTATTGGAATCCCGATTAATATCTAGTTTACTTCCTTGCCCCTTATCTGTAATTATTGTTTGGGTGAGGAAGAGTGATAAAGTACGAAGGGTGATGCCGTGTATTGTTTGATATGGTGAGGAAAGAGTGTAAAGCACGAAGGGTGATGTCGTGTATTGTTTGATATGGTGAGGAAAGAGTGTAAAGCACGAAGGGTGATGCCGTGCCGTACGATGTGCCATTCCGTACTGATATCTATTGATTATATTGTGAGGAAAGAGAGTAAAAGTACGAAGGGTGATGCCGTGTACAATTTTATTTTATATATTGCTTGGGTGAGGAGGAGAGTAAAAGCACGAAGGGTGATGCCGTGCAAATTGTTGATTCTTTTTTATACATGTTGATATTATGACTTTGTTGTCTCCTTATTTTATTGAATATTTCTATTTGAAACTGTTACCTCCCCACAACATGTTTCCCCCTCCCACATTGATTGGTTGCTTCCAGTACTTCTTTTGTTGTCTATATATATACTTGAACTGCACAGGTTTATTTGATTGTCTGGTCCTAGCCTCGTCACTACTTCGTCGGGGTTATGCTAGGCACTTACCAACACATAGGGTCGGTTGTGCTGATACTACACTCTGTGCTCTTTTGCACAGATACAGGTTTCGGACAGCAGCAGCAGTAACGCGGGTGTGAGCAGTCAGACTAGTGAGATACCGAGGTAGCCTTGCAGGCGACCGCAGGCCCGACGTCTCCTCTATCTATTACTTTAGTCTGTTATCTCATTGTATTCGAGACAAACAGTTTATTATTTTCTTTCAGATGATTGTATTCAGTATTCTTAGAAGTTCGTGAGTAATGTGACACCAGTTCTTGGGTAGAGATTTATGTTGGATTCCGCATTTTCATTCAGTCATTTTTCATGCTATTACTAATATTAGATAAAGTAGTAAGAGTTGGCTTGCCTAGCTCTCATTAGTAGGCGCCATCACGACTCCCGAGGGTGGGAAATTCGGGTCGTGACAAGAACAAACCAATTGACACGATCATCACCAAAGAGAAACATATTAATAAATCCATAATCATCAATAATTAATCCATCTTCTAATGGCTCAGTTAATGCTCAATTCGTAAGCGAGTTAAAGAGAAAGAGGAAAGAATTGAACCTGCTGAGTAAGTTTTTCCACTATATGAAAATTCAATAAATACAGAGATTTCAACTCCCAAAATTTAAAACGAGAACAGCAACGCAATTGAGCAAAAACCGCGAGCTAAGCCACGAACCTCGAATCGGCACCGGAATTTCAAATCCAAACTCGGACTTCAATCAAATTCTATCTTTTAAAACGAAAATTGAAATTGGAAAGAAGAAACATATATATATTTTTTAATTTTTCTGGGATTTAAATTAAACTAAAAAAATGGAAAAGTAAAATAAAATCTGAAGATGAAAAGGGCTAAACTGAATTTGTTTTCATTTGTCTTTTTCTGGTTGTTCCAAGAAGACCAAAATCAGAGAAGGAGATTGATGATTTTCCAAAATCTCCTTTTTTTCCTCCCCCATCTCTGTCTGTGACCTCTCTTTATTGTGCCCCAAATAGTGCTTAATTTTTCTATTGTCTTCCACTCACTCTCTCTTTTTCCCAAAAATCCTCCCTTCCTCTCAAAGTCTTGTCCCCATTATCTATTCTTCTTGCTTGGAGGACGTTGCAAGAAATCCAAAAAAATGTGTGGTCCCCTCTCATAAAAATGGAGTATGCTTATATAAAAATGAAAATGTGTGGAGTGCTGATGAAGTGAGGCAAATGAAGATAAAACAATTAAGAGTGCACCGTGTGTATTGTGTATGTCTAAAATAAAACTAATTTATGAAAAAATAAAGTAAGTGGAGTGTGTCATTGTAGATTGAAAGGTAAAAAGGATTTGATTGTAGTATGCCATGTGAGTTGGTTAATTGATCATTTCCTTCTCTTTTTATTTTTAGGCAGAATAGCTAAGTAAAATACTACTATTTATCTAAAGTTTTAAAAGAAAGATTAACATTGCTATATTAAAGAAAATATAAAATATTACTCAATGTTTACTCATATGTACAACTTAAAATCAAAACAAATAAAAATATGAAATTTATTTTTTTTAAAAAAACTTGCTTACTATTGTTTTTTTTTTCAATTTTATGAAAAGTAAGAAAAATTAAAAGTTGATAGTCAAAACCAATTAGCTAAAATAAAGGAAAATATTTTTGTAGTTTTTATTTTTAATACAAAATAAAGCAAAAAAGTTTAAAATATTCAAAATAGTACTATTAGACCTAAAACTAATATCTAAGCACTAAAAGGTATAAAATTTCGGGAAGGGTGAAAAATTACATGTCTACAACTGATAGTAGTGATCTTACTAATATATCTGATAGTATTGATCCTCTTAGCCTTGCACTTGGTAAACGCTCGAGACAAGTCTCACAAAAGTTGCCAGGATATGATTATATTTTGCCCCTTTCTTTTGCCAAGTTGAATAATCAACCGCTCTTATCTACTCCATCGGCCAACTCAACGGTACATCCTTTATCTTACTCTATTTCATATTCTAAACTATCCTCCAATTATGCTGTTTTTTTTTTTTTTGCGTCCATTTCATCCACCGATGAGCCAAAATCTTTTATTCAAGCAGTTAAGCACACATATTGGAGAGAGGTCATAGCAAAAGACATTTGCTTTAGAAGCCAACCATACTTGGACTTTGCAGATTTTACCTCCAGGTAAACGAGTTATAGACTCAAAATGGGTCTATTATGTGAAATATAAACCCGATAGAAGTATTGAGCGCTACAAGGCACGCTTGGTAGCAAAAGGATACACTCAAATTGAGGGGTTGATTTTCATGAAACATTTGCATCTGTTGCAAAACTTGTTATGGTACGTTGTCTGTTAGCGGCTGCTCCGATTCAGAATTGGGAACTTCATCAATTAGATGTCAATAATGCTTTTCTACATGGAGACTTGAAAAAAGAAGTCCACATGAAGATTCCGCAAGGTTTTGCAAAACAGGAGGAGCAGAGAGTTTGTCGATTACAAAAATTTCTATATGGCCTTCGTCAAGCATCTCGAAATTGGTATCATAAGTTTACTTCTTTACTTTCTCTTGGTTTTCAGTAATCACATGCAGACTATTCTTTGTTTACATTGTCTCATCCTGGAGGATCTTTTATGACGGTTCTCATATATATGGATGATCTCATCATTACAGGAAATGATTCTGATCGCATATCCAAGCTGAAAGATCATTTAAATGCAAAATTTCATATCAAGGAACTTGAAAAGCTCAAATATTTTCTTAGTATTGAAGTGGCAAGGTCACCCGCGGACATTTTATTAACCCAACGCAAGTACGTACTTGATATTTTAGTAGAAAATGGACTCACAGGTTGCAAGCCAGCTAGCTTCCCCATGGAGCAACAACATAAGCTTTCTCTTGATTCTGGCAACATAAGCCAGCTAGGACAATTGCCTTACCTTACTATCATTCGTCCATATATTAGCTATTCATGCATGCACCAAGACAATCACATCTAGAAGCTTCTTATAGAGTTTTACGTTATCTCAAAGGAAATCCAGGTCAAGGGATTCTACTTCCTTTGGATAATTCTCTATCTGTAAGAGCCTACTGCGATGCTGATTGGGCATGGTGTTTAATGACACGACGATCAACTACAAGATACATTGTGTTTCTTGGCAAATCACCCATTTCTTGGAGATCTAAGAAACAATCAGTGGTTTCTCGTTCCTCTGCTGAAGCGAAATATAGAGCCATGGCCACTACTATCAGTGAGATTGTTTGGTTACCTCGGCTTCTACAAGATCTTCAAGTAACACATGCAAACCCAGTTTCTCTTTTTTTGTGATAACCAAGCTGCTATCCATATCGCCGCCAATCCTTTTTTCATGAACATACGAAGCACATTGAGATAGATTGTCATTTCATTCGGCAATACGTACAGTCAAAGACGATCATGACTCGTCTTATATCTTCACAGAACCAATTGGCTGATATACTCAGAAAGCTGTTGGTCATGACCAGTTTCATAAATTGTTAACCAAGTTGGGAATTTTCACAATTCATGCTTCAACTTGAGGGGGAGTATTGGAGGATCTTATGTGATCACTTGTATATATTACAAAATCACAAGGATATGTTTCCTTAGTTATAGCAATCAGATCATAGAGCTATCTTTCCGTAGTTGAAGTAGTCAGATCGTTTTAATAAATTGTACATATATGTTTTCTTACTTATAGAGGTACAACTTGTATATATATTAGAGAGGTATTATCAATGAAAGAAACACACTTGGGAAATCTTATTTTACAATTTTGATTAGAAAATGAAAATTTCCAAGACAACTTGGAGTTCAAGATATCCTATATTTAAGTATGTAAATAAAGTACCTTGTTTATGTTATTGACCTACATTTGTTATCAAGAAAGCTAAGATTTCTTTTGAGTTGGTATGCGAATGTCATAAAAGGGACTCCATGTTAGATCCATAACACGAAATGACTAAACATTTGTTCAATTTGGAATGTGAATCCATTCTCATGAACGCCATAGTGGGCGTTTGGACATAAGAATTGTAAAATTTCGAAAACAGTAAAAAATCTTTTTAAGTGAAATGATATTTAAAAATTAGAGTTGTGTTTGGACATGAATATAATTTGGAGCTGTTTTTGAATTTTTGTAGGTGATTTAAAGTGAAAATTTTGAAAAATAGCTTTTTCGAGTTTTTCAAATTTCTGAAATTCAACTTCAAGTGAAATTTGAAAACTTTTTTAGCGGTAGCTAAACTCCAGCTCTTTTGTTAGCATCAAGATCCGGTATATACATACATAAAAACGCATAATCAAATCAGAAGCCAAAAATATTATGTACGATTTTAACAAATTGCATCAGGATTATGCCTGTCGACGTATTTGTTGATCTTCCTATAATCTGCGAGTCCATTCCTCCAACCCAGAGCCAATCATAGTTGCTGCAAAGAAAACCAAGAAGACTCATGAGTTGCCTTGTGACCAGTGAGATAGCAGCTGATGTTAGATTGTTTTTCTAATAGACACTGCTCAATTTAAATGGAATATTGCCATTTCTTCTTATTGAGAAAAATATCTAGTGTAGATGAGTTTTCCTACATTGTTGGTGTCTTGGTGATGTTAAAGAAAGTTTTGATGGTATTTGAAATCTTAGTCACATTATTTTTTTTTTCTGGAGTTTTGAATCTCCTGTAATTGACTATCTTAAAAAGAACATCAGGTAGGCACACAAGATATGACACACATTTCACATGTAGCGTAATTTTGAAATAGAGCATCAATCTTAACTTTGCCATGTATATGCTATGCTTGGAGTTAAATCATTCAATCTACAACTATAAATTTTTACTGAACATTGTAAGGAGATAATTTTTTTTTTTTTTTTGGTTTCCAACCTGATAGGTGGAACCATTTTTAGGGTCCGATTAATCTGGATTCGCGAATGGAAGTCCCATTTTGGGTTTAAAATGCTCCTTGCCAAAGAAGACTTTTTTAGGACTTGAATCCGAAATTGTTGATTAAGAATAAAGAATACTTACTATTTCACCATAATCTTTGATGATATAAACTAATACTTTGACGAAATAGATCTAACAAGATGAGATAGAAGGAACGCAAAAATATTCATTTTCGTCTTCGAAGACAGAGGCGGATCCAGGATTTAGGAACAAAATAAGGACTAAGAAGAACGTAAATCAACGCGTCGAAGTTTAGAAACGAAAAAAAATCAAAATAAAAAAAGCAATACCAACGTCAATTCAGGAAATTAGGAAAAAGAAGTAAACTCGTTCAACGGTCGACTCATCCATTGGGGCCCACCATTACGTGTTTCATTAATCTGACGGCCGGTTATTGAAATAAACGACGCTACAATTGATTCTGACCGTAGATGATCTTTACTCGGTAAGGGAGTACTAGCATATACAAATACCGTATCCAAGGAATTTCCAGCAAAATATCTCCGTTTCCAAACCCTAACTTCAACGAAGGTGATCGATCGAAGGTGAAAAAACCACCAAATTGCATCAATAATTCACAAATTCGAAAGAGTTTATTGCCAGATCTAAGAGCCATGGGAAACACAGAGAAATTGATGAACCAGATCATGGAGCTCAAGTTCACATCAAAAAGCCTTCAACGCCAAGCTCGTAAATGCGAGAAAGACGAAAAATCCGAGAAGCTTAAGGTGAAAAAAGCAATCGAAAAAGGAAACATGGACGGCGCTAGAATTTACGCCGAGAACGCAATCCGCAAGCGCAGCGAACAGATGAATTATCTCCGTTTATCTTCACGGCTCGACGCCGTTGTGGCTCGACTCGATACACAGGCGAAAATGACCACAATTAGTAAGTCAATGGGAAATATTGTAAAATCACTTGAGTCTTCTCTTGCTACAGGTAATCTCCAGAAGATGTCCGAGACGATGGACAAGTTCGAGCAACAGTTCGTTAATATGGAAGTTCAAGCTGAGTTTATGGAGAGTTCTATGGCTGGAAGTACGTCGCTGTCGACTCCAGAGGACCAGGTTAACAGCCTTATGCACCAAGTGGCTGATGACTATGGCCTTGAGGTCTCTGTTGGGCTTCCGCAAGCAGCTGGTCATGCGATTCCTACAAAGGACACCGAGAAAGTGGACGAGGACGATCTTACCAGGCGCCTTGCTGAGCTGAAGGCACGTGGGTAATTGAGAAATTATTGAGTTTTATGTTAATAATGAGGCTGCCCAATTGGTATATTGTGAAATAGTATGTGCAGTTCTCTCTATTTCCTACAGAAGAACGAGTTTAATGTGCATTTAACTCTCTTGTGATTGGTGGAGTTATTTTGCCCTCCTTAATGGTTTACAGAATTTGCGTGTCTATAATTTAAAGTGCTTGTTGGTAAAGGGTAATTTATTCATTGTCTGGTAGTGTTGTAGCTAAACTTGTAGATATAGCTGCCCAGAACTCGTAGTCAGTGGCGGAGCTAGAGGTATGGAAGGGGGTTCAAATGAATATCCTGTTTAGGATTCCTAGTTCCACCACTCCTCGTAGTATTGGAAAATGACACCGTTTTACATGTAAAGGCGAAGCTATCCAGTTGGTTTACTTGATCTCTGTGAAACAGAGGAATTAAATTGGAATGAATTCATGCTCAGTTAAAAGAAACTAAATATGGTGATGTTTCTTTTTGGAGGGGGAGGGCATTGGAGAGTAAGAATGGCTGTGTTCTATACAAGCTTGATCTTTGTCGTGTCAAGCTAATTTACAAACAACTTTCATTGGTTTTAACATCCTTCTAGCACTCCTTCCACCTGGACAGTTTGTGGGGGGTTTGGATACCAAAATGTCCTGTTCGTGGACTTCAACTTTGTGCTATTCATGTTTCTATGATGATAAAGGAATAGACAAATGATGGATAATATGGAACTGAATGTTATAACTGAATACTGAAGTTAAATGGATTACAACAACAATAACATACATACCCAGTGAAATCCCATAAGTGGGGAAATTTTAAATGGATTGACTCCTCTCTTTTTTTCCCTGCTAGAGGAATTATTGTTGTGGGTAAGAATCTGCAGTCTTAACAACTGCACCTTCAACATCTACTGGATTTCAAAGAGAAAGATAATTCTATTTCATCTGTATCTACAAGTTAGGACTTTATATCCGCCTATGATAGTGAGCCTCGAACATTACTCTATTATATTAGAATATTTTCCAACATTCAGATACTAATGCGGGACTAATTTGCAAAAAACCTTCCTCTGATATTGAGTCTTCGAGAGCCAGACTGGAAATGATAATCCCTATGGAAAGATAGTTGGTTGTCATCCTAGACACCGTCTTATTGGCCTATGGAAATAATCTAAACCAAGCGGATCAAATGGATTGACGCCATTTTTTCCGGCTAGAGGAACCATTATTGTTGTAAGAATCTGCAGTCTTAGTAGCCATCTACCTTTTTGTTGCATAAGTTTAGTTTGCATAGCTGTGAAAGCATTTGTGAGTATGCATGACTCAGATGTCATAGTTTTGCAGCTTGACATATTGACAAAATTTTAAAATTTTGCATCGGTGAGTTGCAGATTTGCGTGTGGTGTGTGTTTTTGTTTTTTTTTTTGCGAGGGGGGGGGGGGGGGGGGGGAGGAGGGGGTGGTGCTTATGGATATTGTCTTCACAAGTTTGTACGCCGCTGAAATTCCTGGTTAACTACAGCCACACACCAATTTGATATGCTCTTGTAGTTCTAGGCTTCTAGTGGTCATACTGTATTATATTATTCTCACTGTAACAAATTAGATATACCTTTGCAGTTTTGTTATTTTCCGCCTTATCAGTTAAGGCACTTAACAAAGAGAAGTGGATGTTCTATTGCATAAATGCATCTTTTTAATAGGAAGTGTGAAGTGGGAAAAATTAGGGCTAATAACTTCATTTCCTAGTTGCGTATGTTTTACAGATGACCTTGCTTGGTCGTTCTTTAGCTTGATTGATCTTTTGCAGATCAATTTTTGTTAATTTTACTAGTTAGAATGTGTGTGTGTGTGAGGGAAGAGGAGGAAGAGCATTTGTAGTTTGTTTCAATGTGTAACTAGGTCCATGGTATCATCCAGGCAGATAGCTTTTAAGTGATAATAGTTGCTGGTGGAGATGCTTTCCTTTCAGGCTCCTGGTTTATGCTAAACTTCTGTAATAAAATTATGTTTCAGTGTTAAGATAGAAAAGTGTTTTCATGTAATTCTGCATAGACTGCAGCAGGTACGAAGCAAAGAAGTCAAACGGTGGTACTTTTGATGCAGTTAGACATAACATTGTAGAGTGAGAAAGGCTTGGAGATGGTTAGAAGTTCTACTTGTCAGTGTGCATTTTATGTGCACGTTGCAAGAGAAATGATTTCGTGTATATTTTTATGGCAATCTGTTGTAGCTAATTACTGTAGTATTTGCACATTTGTTTGTATCCACTTCGAATAGTTCTCTGACAAAAATAGGGGCTGTTGATGTGAACTCAATCCATGGTGTATGCCACTCTTGAAATCTTTATAATTAGGAGATTATAGAGCCATATGGACTACTGATTCAGGGGGGTTAGGGAAGACCGCTAGAGCCATATGTACTGGGTGGAGTCTAGTGTTCCATGGGTAGGGTTTGTCCTTGCACCACTAATTTGGACTGATTTCATGTTGAGCAACCAAAACAAAAAGGTTTATTGTGCCTAGCTAACTTTTGCATAGTTTAATATGCTTGAGGTTGTCGAGCAAAGCTAATTTTTAAATATGTTTAATTTTTCATAGAGTTTTTTGTTTTTGTTTCCATGTGGACGTTTAGAATTTCCTGTTCAATGACATGAAGCATCTATCATGCATGAGGCTATGATGCTAAAGGAATAGATGAAGCATAAGCATTATGGATATTGAATGTTATAAAATGATTTTCTCCTGTCATGGATCCAACTATTATGTTCATGGGTTGGTGGTCCGTGCTGAATTCAGAAGTTTAGATGGACTGATTTCATCTTGGAAACAGTCAGCAACAGTTTCCCTTAGTTTATCATAGCTTTAGAAACATTTGTATGTAGTGCATGACTCGGACGTAATAGTTTTTGCCATATGATATTGATGGCAACTTTATAGTGTTAAACCTGGAATGAGGGGAGATGGGCCTTATGGAGGTTTTCTTTGCTAGTCTATTAGTGTCAAAAGATCCAGGTAAGTTACACAACAATCTGATATCTCTTCATTGTTCTAGACTTCTAGTGAGTTGACTGTTCTACTTAATTGGGTTTGAATTGTATAAGAGGAAGCGGGTAACATACTGCATACATAAATTTTTATTTGGGAAGCTAGAGTGGGAGAAACTTCTGACTAACTCGATAATAAATTCATTTCCTATTGACTTACATTCTACAGCGGTTACTGTTTTTCGTCAGTCTTAATTGGAGGATTGCATAAATGTTCTTTTACAGTTCATCTAGTTAATTTACTAGTAGAGTTTGCACATGTAAGGCAGAGAAGAGCATTACCGTAGTCTGGATATCATGTAAAAGAGTAGCTGATAACTGATAATAATAACTGGTGGAAGGCTGTCTTTGCGGAGAGATCCTATGCTTTCCACTGTTCATGTTTTTCCCCTGCTCACTTAACTTCAGTAAGAAATCTTTATGTTTGAGAAAGAATGTTAGTATCATGCTATTCTGCTTAATGACTGGATAAAGAAACGGAGCGAAACACTGCAAACATTTGGTATAGTCAGGATTGGCTGTGACAGTGTAGACACAGAAAGGCTATATTTAGTTTTGAATATTTTATCGATTAGTAGGGTTTGTTAATCTTGCATTCCAATTTACGTTGTAAGTTATTTATTAGATCTCATACTAGGAAACTAAAACCATAGTACTGTGTGAAGTGGAGGCTTACGTTGCTTTGTTTATCCTCGAGTAAATTCGTGTTGCAGAACTAGAAAAAAAGTGAGGGGGACTTTTGTCTCATGGGCGAGATGTGGAAATCACGCCCGCTCTCTTCTACAGATTAAAATCCAACACACTACACCCAAGACTAGGAGTAGCAAAGGGGCGGGGGCGGGGTGGATATGGTTCGGTTAGCAAAGGGGCGGGGGCGGGGTGGATATGGTTCGGTCCTAAAACAGGTTATAAAAACAGATAAATTATCCGACCCGTCCCATATTTAATATGGATAAAAAAACAGGTTACTGTCAGATAATATGAGTAACCATATTATCCATGACTTCTTGAATATGATTATTCATTAGTTATAAATGTAAAAGTTAAATTCATTAGTTATCCATTGGATAATATGTTTCTTATTTATATTTTATTCATTTTTAAAAAGTTCATTATCTAACCCATTTTTTAGTGGATAATATGGGTGGTTAACTGTTTTCTTTTAACTATTTTGCCAATCACTGCCTAGGAGAAAGTCCGATCACCAAGAAACCTTTTGACTCGAAAGTCTCAACCCAAATGTCATCGAAAGCTCATAAGTACAGCTAAATAGAGCATCTGCTGCTTAGTACGATTCAAAGAAAGAAATTTAACAGGAATTCTAATGTTTTATTCCCTATTAAAGGAAAATTCACTTTCATCTAGGGCGTCGGGAAAGGAAAGCTGCTTGATTGTATGAATCCTCCTTGCTAGCAACAAGCCACAATGTACAAAACAGATGACAGTAAAACAATACTCTTGGCAACTTTGAGCCATGTTTTAACGTGTTCAATAGAAGTAGCCAATAACTTGTCCACCCACATTTTGCCGCTGAGCTTCTTCGTGATCCAAAACTCCATTTGGTGTTGTAATTACAACATATCCCCACTGCATGAAGGGAAGAAATCAATTCCCTCAATAGGAAATAAAAATCATTAATAAGTTCTTGGTCATGAGCTAGAGAAGCTGGTGAAAAAAAAAAAAAAATGGATTGTAGAGCAAATGAATCCTGATCATTTCTCTGAAGGTTAAATATACAAAAAGAAAAAAGAAAGAAAAACTTAAGCATTTAAGGTTTTAATAATTAGGATAAAGCAAAACCACACTAAAAGGCATATAGGATAACAGATTAACGGGGATTAAAAAGGTTTACATGTGTCTAGTGAACTTCAAAGATCAATGATGGATGTAAGCAAGGCAGTAATGGATGATTTATCAAATCGTGTTCTTTCCTTATCTTCAAATAAAATAATGTTGACGGACAAGAAAAATGGAAAGAAGACAAAGAAGAACTAAAAACGTAGCCTATGCTAAGAAAAGAACTGTAAACATAATCTATGCACATGCAACTCAAATTTGGCTCCCGCACTCGCAACACAACATGCAGCTTAAAGATATGTTTTCACAATGCAAATTTGAACACTTCGAAATGTTCTCAAAGATGTTTGATAGAAAACTATTGTGGATATTATAATATTGGACAATGGTGTAGCAAACCCAGATGGCACGTCTAAGTGAGAGCTTTTTCTGGTCAAAGATACTTCCTCTGCTTCACTGTCCCAAGATAGTAAGATGGCTCAAAATGGTTCTTTTTGGACAGAAAATGATAGGGGAAATGTCAGTTTCTGAAGACAGAAAAATTGGTTGAAAATGGTTATATTTGGATGGAAAAGATAATAAAGAGATTAGCCTGAAGGGAAACAAATGACAACAAAAAGGCAGCCCGGTGCACTAAGCTCCCGCTATAAGGGTCTATCATACGCATCCTTACCCTACATTTCTGCAAGAGGCTGTTTTCATAGCTCGAACCCGTGACCTCCTGGTCACATGGCAGCAACTTTACCAGTTACGCCGAGGCTCCCCTTCCTGAAGGGAGAGAAATGACAACAATTGTGGATATTCTTTTCACACAGCAGAAACTCAAGAAAGAGCAGCAGCTGAGAAGTAACTAGGAGTGTGGTAAATGGATAGATATACAGTAGTAGCTGGTTTGGAGAGTGCAGATGATGGTATGTTCAGAAACTGGGAAAGAACGAGTGGGAGTAAATGCCTGGAAGATGTAGTAGTTTGATCTGTTGGTTGGACAAATTGGTTCTAAAGCAAGTGCAGCAGAGACATACATTGGCCCAGTCCTGCCTCGATATACCATATGCAAAAGAACTGCATGATAAAACAGGTTTTGCAATACCACCTTAGTTCGACTGCAACTATTTGTAGCACGTGATTGATAGATATATGAAGGTAAGTGGGTCGACTCTTCTCCAGATCTCAGAAGTTCACGTTTATTGAAAACTTTTCAGTCACGAGAAATTATATATGTGCATTTCATGAATACATGAAACTGCATACTTATTAGTTTCCTTCGGGTAATGAGAGTTCCTTAAACAACTATGACAACTATTCCCCGCCCCTTCCCCAGGGCAGCTTTCTATAGGAATATGGAAACAACTCATCCACAAGAAATTATGAATATGTATTATATCTACCTGTAACTGCAAAGTTCTAGCATCTTTCACGTAATGAGAATTTACCATATAAATTAGACATTTAATCCCCCGCCCCTCCTACCAGGGCAGCTTTAATAGAAATATGGAAGCATTAGATTTCCACTTACAATTAGGGAGCAAGAACCAAGAGCAGTTTGATTGAAGAGCTAAATGGTGTAAGCACCTACAGAGCGTAGATTTACATTTGTACTTAGTACATATTAAAATAAAGGCGAAATACATAAACAACCCCTTTAAGTTGTCCTCAACGATTAGTCAGACACCTCAACTGACCACTTTACCAATTTAACACTTCAAGTGGCTATTAAGTATGACCTCGTGAACCCTTCATGTTGACATGGCAAAGTTTGTGCCTTATATTCAGTTCTAAGTGCGTGAATCCCTCAAAATTAAGTTTTTTTCCTTTTTTTTAAATTTAACTTTTTATGTGGATCACCATAATTTTTATGTGGGTCCCACTATATTTTTTATTTTCCACACATTAATTTCACTTTCTTCCCAAAATATTTCATCTTCACCACCAAATTTACCTGCCCTAAATATGGCAACAGTAGCACCTCCACCTTCTACCATTAATTCACCTCCTCTTCTTCAATCTTAAAGTAATACTCCCTCCGTCTTATATGAGATAAGGTAGTTTGACTCGGCACGGAGTTTAAGAAAAAAGAAGAAGACTTTTGAAACTTGTGGTCTTAAAAGCTTAGGTGGTAAAAAGTTTGTGGGGTCATGACATTTGTGTGGCTATAAAAGCTTCTCATTAACGGTAAATGGGTAAAATGAAGAGTTTAAAGTTGAATTATTTCCATATTTAGAAATGTGTCATTTGTTTTGGAACAGACGAAAAAGGAAAGTACCTCATCTAATATGAAACGAAGGAAGTAATAATTAATAATAGCCACTACTGACTACACTGTAACAATTTCACTTACCACCCACAAAAATTCAATCCCATTTTTGATAATTTCCACTCATCGCTACAGCTGCTGGGTCTTCGACTTCGTAGGTTTTGTTCGCCGGAGAAAAATGGATGCCAGGATGACTGTTTTTAGTGGTCTCTTTCAAGGTATTAAGGTGGAGTTTCAGTTAGTTAAAAATGAAAGAAATTGAGAGATGGGTGCTCTAAAAGCTATGGCCTTTTTTCCGGTGAGACAGATGTATTTTGTAGTGTTGCCTTTTGTTTTGGGTCTTACTCCATTTTTTCAGAGAAGAAGACCTCCAAGGTTTCCTTAAATGGCAACGTACAACACATGATGTCCAGATCTGATTATCCTGTAAAACGCATGAGATGAACGAAAAATACTTCATTGAAACTCAAGCTCCTCTAAAAGACTAAAACCATTTGGCCTCTAGATTACTGATCACAATCCCATCCTTTTTGGTGATNGCAGTAACAGTAAAAAAATGTTTTTGGTTTCTTTAAATTTATTTGAGTTTGGTTAATTATATTTGTGCAATTTTTAATTATAATTTACATGTGTCATTCTTTAATTGGTTCATTTGACATGTCATTAGCGAGTGTACTTCACGTATATGGCTTGCCGGACTCGGATGTTTACAAGGTACACCTAATAGCCACTTGAAGTGTAAAAATGGTAAAGTTGTCAGTTAAGGTGTTTGGTTGATCGTTAAGGACAACTTAAAGGGGCCGTTTATGTATTTCGCCTAAAATAAAACATCAAAGTGTACAACCTTCTTTAATTGCACCTTAAACTATGATCAAGATGAGAAATTATAGTATATGACCAGCCATCCTTGTTCATAGTGGTTGAGGAGTTCTCTCCAAACTACTAGGTTAAGGGTTCAAGGTTGGTAGTGTATGATATAGATCTACATATTACATGAATACCATACCTAAAATGTTTATAAAGAGCATAATAAGATTCACTGCAAGCTGTCACTACAATACTTGCTAGTTAGGGAAGCTACTCTCGCAACTCAAGATGAGTATACTCTTGTCCAGGCAAGACAGCCATCATGGAAGTATACTTCAGAAGAAGTGTTCAAGGTTTCGGAACTTGATGAGGCAGAAATATTTTATCACAACTTTACAACTTTACGCAATATTGAAAGCAGATAAGATGATATGGAAAGGATCCCCTTCGAGCCTTTTGGTGAAGTTCCCTAGAAATTTTATGTTCAGTGGAGGCCATTCAAGACTTATCCGATCACCCATATGGAAAATTAAAGCTCCTAAAAGCGTTGCATTTTTTTTGTAGGTGAGATTGAGTAATCTTAACAGCTGAAAAGTTGAGGATGAGATGTATAATTGTTAGTTTTGTGCAAATGATGAGGATGTGGATCATCTTTTACAACATTGTGGCTTCAATTGGGATTGTTGGCTATGCTCTTCTTCACTTTCAATGTATAATACGAACTATCTTAAAACACCTCTAGCAATAGCAAGAAGCATTCTCAAGTAGCAAAAAGCTTACCACTGTGACCCATTTGTACATTTAGTTTTCAAAAATGTGATAACACAAACACCCAATAGGATAAATTTGAAATGGGAGAAAGTTTAGAGCAAAATGATTTTACTGATAAAGTGATTTAAGGAGAAAGAAATGTAAGCAATAAAACATAAACAAAATGTAGGAAATGCTCAGAAATGGAGAGAATGGCCCAAGACCTAACATATTCAAGCAGAGAAGGAGAACAGATTAGCATTTGGCGAACAAAGCAATCAACAGAGAAATGATATAAAATAGGAATTACATTATACAAAGCAAAGCCTTCAATAGTGCAACTCAAAACTCAACGAACAGCGAATCAGCTCATGTTTGATGGCTTTCTTATAACTGATGAGAGCTCAATAGCATGAACAAAAAAGAGCCTTAATAAAGGGGAAACCACAAACCTGACGAGTTGGTAGGGCGCGTGTTTTATATTGCTCAATGCTTGCAGCCTTGATATCCTGTCTATAGGTGAGAGCTCGACAATCATTGACCCTTCCAAGCAGTTGAACAGTTATCTTACCAACTCTATGAGGATCATGTACTTGAAAGTCCTTAATATAACCTGAAAAAAGTAGCTATAAATTAAATATAAGCAGCCCCGTGAATTCTAACATCCTAAAGTCATTTGATTTCTCTCAAATTGGAGGAAGCATCACAAAAGGGAATTTACTACCAAAACTTATTGAATGTTTTAGAGCTCAAAACTACAAGTGTGAAAGAGAATCGCTAATTAAATACCTCGATATTTCATGATTTGGAGGAAATTAGAAATAACATTGGAGACGGGTTTGAGCTCAGCAGAAGCAAAGCCTCTCTTTTCTGCATTCACGATTGTCCTCAATGCGTCATTCAATATTCTCCTCCCCATTTTCACTTTACTGTTTCTTCTCCGCCAACTGTAAATGTTCCACTTCCAATCTCGCCCTTCAACCTAAAACCCTTGCCCACAACCTGCTTCGGCCATTTTCATCGGTATGACCCGAGAGATACTATGTATTTTGATTGGGCCGTGATGCAGAATGGGCTAAGAAAAGAACCCACTGGACAGCTGATTCTCCAAATTTTATTTGGTAGCCGAGAAAAAGTGTAAAAATTGCACGCATGGCGCCCTATTTGGTCGCGTCATTTAACCTATGCCCATTTTTTAAAAATTTTTAATTTGTACCCAATTTTTAAATAACTTCAGCCCCTTTCTCTTCCTCTTCTCCTCCTTCGTTTTCTTCTCCTTCTTCTTTCTTCTGCTGATGTTGGTGCTGCTATGGAACTTTAGTTCATGGGATGTTTGCAAGAGAGTTGTCTGAAGAGAGAAAAGGGAGAAAAGCATTGGAACGAGTCTGCGAAGAACTTGCCAATCATATATCGTTGGATAGAGCAGAGATCAATCGATTGAGGAAAGAAACGGAATAATAGAGGAAAATGATTTGAATGGCTGAGGTTACGAGTCCATATGAAGCTTAATGATACTAAATTTTTATTGGAAGAGAAGTTATTAGAACTGGAAGAAACTAAGAAAATGTTGCCATCTAATGCCCGAAGCCAAAATTCAAGAAAATTTCAACCATAACATCTCATCAGCTGCACGTGATCAAGGAACAGAGAAAAGGTGTGAAATAGCTGAAGTTCGCTAGTTACAAAACAAAAGCTTCGGCTGCTTGCCAGTTACAAAACAAAAACTGCCAGTTACAAATAAAAACTTTAGCTCTAGAGCTGAAGTTCGCCAGTTACAAAACAAAAACTGCCAGTTACAAATAAAAACTTTAGCTCTAGAGCTGAAGTTCGTCAGTTACAAAACAAAAACTTCATCTCTAGAGCTGAAGTTCGCCAGTTACAAAACAAAAACTTCAGCTCTATAGCTGAACTTCATGCCCGGCTACTAGAATGCTGAAGTTTTGCGTGATTGCCTTTGCTACTTCAGCCCCGTATGCTAAAGTTATGCGAAAAAGCAGGTACGGNTTTTTCAATCTTGCCGGCTTCTTTTCTTTTTCCTTTTCAATGAAAATAGCATTTAAGGGGATTTCAATCATTAATTACATCTTTATTCGTAAATAAAATTTTATTTGTATTTTAAATTCAATTATAAAATATGTATATTGAAAAAAATTCAATTTGGAAAGATAAAAAGAAGATATGAGCAGTGGTAAATACATAGGATATTCCGTTATTGCGTTATTTTTTTTAAGTTGAGCATTTATTCATAATTTAACACTTGTAACATTTTTCTTGTAATAAAGAAAAGCAAGATAATACTTTTAAAAAAGAAATTGTTGAAATTGTAAAGCATAATAATTCTAATCTGTTTACTGAAACATGTACATAATATTACAAACTACGTGTTTCATTGCGACTACAAATGGCGAACAAAACTTTTAAGAAACCAAAACGTCTGGTAGTTCTCCACTTTATAGGAGCCTACTATGATGACAACATTATGGAAAATTAGCCCTTAGGGCGATTCCTAGAATCAGGAGTCATTATTGTACGTATCAGGCACACTAAAACTTCCATAAATAATATACACAAAAATGTACTGGGACACAAGCCCCGCTAAAGAATTGAAAAAGGAAAAAAAATAAGGCACTCTACATTTCTATTTACATTTGCGTTGCTCCAAATGTATCTTCACATTTTCTGTCAACTCTTGTGGTGTCACCATCATTCATTTCATCTACAAATGGGACAGAGCACTTTCTGCTGGCCCCTCCACCAAACGAGTTAACCACCGCATATTATAGAGGAGATAATCCCCGAGCACTCCGGGTTCCCTAACAGGCCAAAAATGAGTTAGAAGTCGATCTTTCTGGTTACCGGTCTCTGGCATATGAAACAGCAAAGTCTTTGATCATCTGCTTCAAATGCTGCACAACAAGTTGAAGCATTCAGAAATTGTATAGAAAAAGAAGAATACTAAGGCAAAAAAGAGAAAAGAAAAACTACTAGGGATCATAGGAAAATGAAGCAATAAGGTTCAAAAGTGATGGTCCGATAAGTACCTTCAATTCCTCATGAAGCACAATAAATATTTTCTTCAGTCTTTTATGTCTCTGCATTGTTTAAATTGTAAAACCAATGAGTCAGACATCACAGAGAAAGTACAGTTATAGTATATCACCCTAAGGCACATGGGCAAGTGAACAGATACATCTAATAAACCAGCTCAAGGAGTCAAATGAAAAAGTAAAGGGTTATCCAAGTAAACAGGACTATGGAGAAAGTGTCTCTACAGAGGGCATTGAAACTATTTCAGCCATTAGGTAATCTGTCATCCAGAAATAGCCTGCGGAAAGGCACTTAATACTTGCATCCAAAAGCATTGAAAAAAATGCAGGAGAGATTTTTTGAGCTAGAGAACTAGAGCTGGCATCACCATTAGTCTAGAAACATAATAGACATCAACATTAAAAATGTTGGAGTATAATCTCCAACTGCTTATCCATGACCACAAAACATATTGAGAGGAGGAAACTTACTGATCCACATTTACGATACGAATCTTTTAACTGTCCCAACATGTCATAGAATCTTTGCTTGTCCCTTCCTCTAGATACCTCAAGCTCCTTGCCGAGTGTCATGAACTCATTCCTAAAGAGTTTATCCCAATAATTGTTAGACTAACTAAAACTGAAAATAAACTGTTTGCAAAAGGTGTTGGTTAAAAAAGTTGACAAGAAATAATCTCCATTAAACTTTGAGAAATAAGCATAAATCTATTCGTGCAACAAACCTGTAAGACTCCAATGTTTTGTTTATGGAGCAATAACTATCATATTTTTCCCTATACTCCTGCACATATTCTTCATACCTGAAACATGGATAAACTGATATATGAGAAGCATCAAAAATAAAGATTTCCAGCCAAAAAGATAATAGGAAGTACAAAAGGCATTAATAACTTCAACACAACAGGCTCTACTCGTTTTTAATACTTAATGGTTTAGAGAACAAAGGTCTCAACAATGAAAACGACCTCAATTATCCAACACATTTACTACTTGACCCTACACGTGTACTCTCTTTTTTCAGTAAAAGGTTTCAAGAAATAAAAAATTTCAACAATGAAAACGACTTGAAGCATATCACTTGAAAACCACATTTGTGTACTCTCTTTTATGTATCAATTGAATCTGAGAGTATGCCTGCATGTTTCAACAAGCTCCAAAGTGGTGTCTCCACTACTAAAGTAAATGCAGAAATACTTACTGGGCAAAATTCTCTATTGGTCCCTTCAGCTCTGCTTCCTCCTTTTCATACTTGGAGTACGAACTCATCTCATCAGGAGAAGACTCTCCCATCCTTTGATGACCTTCAGAGCTCACCAGTAAAGAAGCATCCTTATGCCTATCATTTACCTCAGCAGCCAAACTGGACTTTTGCCCTTTGTTCTCCTTGGCAGATGCTGGAAGTACACCATGTTTTAGGTCATGTTGTTCTCGTGCACCAGCAGAATTTTTTTTGCGAGCGTCTCCATGGACCTCCTGACCAGTTCCTAATCTCCCTTCTACTTCAATTTGCCGACCATTATGCACTTCCACTGGTTGATTATATTGGGAACCAATATCATTCTGATTAATTCTAGGATGGGGTTGTTGAGGCTGAGGTTGTGAAACCTTTTGGTGAGGTCTTGTAAAATCTTCAGCATGACGTTCAGGGGTCCTCCTCTTAGAAAAGCCATTTGGAGCCCCAGAAGGCACAGCGCTTGACTGGAGAGGAGATGATCTTCTAAACTCTGCTACATTCTTCTCTGTAGTTCTTCCTTTAGTTGACTCAAAATTCCAATAATCTGAACTTGTTGGTCTATTCTCTCCTTTAAAAGAACTTTTCCTCTCAAACTGCTTGTTTAACCCAGCTGTTTCCTGTGGCGGAGGCTCCCGAAGTTCTCCTAACTCCAGGTCTGAAAGCTCTCTTTGAAGCATGTGCCCACGTCCATTCATGAAAGATGATTTCCCTGTATTACACATATTATCCTTTGGAGAATTTCGTGGCAGCGGGCTGTCATACTTACTGAGGTTCAAATCGACTGATGTTCTTTGCTGGTCCCCAACACCATCTTTTGGAATTTTTCTTTCCCTTTTATCACTAACAAAGTCGTATTCATCTTGTGACTCTCTACTAACCTTGTCTCTCTGTGAGGGGAGCCCTTCATTCATTTGAAGGCTTCTTTCAGTGTACTTAGTGGTATGCCCTGAGCTTTCACCTTGTTTTATTGGCCTCTCAGAACCAGTAGGAGCTTTGCCCCTTGCAGTGAAATCAACAGATCTCCGGTCTGGCTGCAAAAGTTCAGAAGCAGACTTCCTGGAAGTTCTATCCATCTGCTGCATATTAAGGCCCTTATAAGGCCCTTCTGAAGGCTTATCAGGAGATAAGTGTGAACTCTCCACAAAATTAGAGTTCCTATGACCAGAACTTTGATGCTGAATAACATTCTGAGTTTTTACTCTCTTATTCTTGTCAACTTTATCAACTAAACGTTTTTCATCACGCACTCGTTTAGATTTACTTTTCCTACCCCCAGATGGCTCATGCTTGAAGCTATCCTTGTCGACACTTTCAATTTCACTATGATGCTTTTGGTAACTAACAATGTGTGCTTCATGATGAAGCTCACCCATTTGGACCTGACTTTGTTTATCCTCATGCCTATCAGACGATAAAGGTCTGATTTCTTCTACAGGTTTTTCATTATCTCTCATAGGACCTGAGCCAGGAATAACAGCCATTTCAGCTACTTGGTCGCCGTGAGGCAAGTCCTTCTCAATTTCCACAATATCCGTAACATTAAGATCGTCCCTCTCACCTACCTTAAATTGACCTGGCTCAAAATCCAAAGTTCCGCATTGAACCTGTTCAGAAGCTCGCGGTTCATGATTTGTCTCTTTGTCATCATCGCTCATGATATCAACATCCTCATCAGATGCCTCCTTACTATTAGAAGAAGCATCACTTTCACTGTCACTGCTACTCCCACTGGCTACACTTTTACTTGGGCTTCTGCTTCTACTCTGACTTCCACTATCGCTTCCACTGTCGCTGCTCTCACTTTCACTATCACTAGAGCTAGAGCTAGAGCTATTAGCCAGCCCTACACTTCGATCAGGTGAATGATGGAGGATATCAATTTTTTCCATGGCATCATATGCTTCTTGAGGTTTAGAATCGCTCACTGCCCCCTCTTCCAATTCACTGCTATCAGTTTTTAAAGGTAAGACCGGTTCTGGAGCAGGTAGCTGGTCAAATTTATCGGGGGCAGATAATGGCTGACAATGATCTTCAGGAGAACTGTTAAGAGCAGAAAACATCAGGGTAAGGGGACTTTCAATTAACATGGAATCAAGCATTTCAATCAAAGAATATATCTTTTCAGAAGAATGATTTTCCTATCAAAGGCATAGTAGAGCTAGTAGTCTGGTCCTCAGCAGCACTAAGATAAAAGAGATATGTTAGAACGAGAAGTTAAATTGATGTCTGCCATACCTATAATAATCAAAAAGGTGATACTGGAAACATATTAAAGAGCACAATCAACTGACTAAAGCAAAAGCGATTGGGTTACAAACCAAAACCATAAGAAAATACATCCTGACCAATGTCCGACTGTGTGTGCATAGATGCATGAATTTTCTTTTTAATGAAGAAAGATCTTTTTACTGTGGAAAAGATCATACGTGCGTGGATCTTTTTACTGTGGAAGGAGGTGTTCTGCTCTCAAGGAAAATAGTTCATGACCACAATACAGAGGATCATCAAATGAAACATGAATAGGAAATGAAAATAATCTCTCGATCAGAAAATAATCTTCCCACCTCTCCACCCTCCAAGGAATTTGGCCAAAAACAAATACATACAGATATGATCCTTGTACGTTAGTGTCAAAACATATAAATTAGCATCCCAAAAGAAGGGCAAAATTAATGAGCACATTTTAACCTTTGTAACGTCAAAAAAATGCATATGTTCCTTGATTGTTTTAGCTCAAAATGGATGTAAAATGCCAAGGTCTTTTTGTTTAATATCATTTTCACAAACATCTTCCAAGTTTATCTCTGGTAGAAAGTTCCCGTGCTCCTACAGGTACACTTACCGAGACTTCAGTTTAACCAGACGTGCTGAATGCAGATCAACTTTGTCTCTGACAGATACTATTTTAATTTCAAATAGAAGAGACAAAACAAAAGAACAAAGAGCCCGAAAATTTTTTGTACCTTCCACTTTCAGGGGCAGGTTTCGGGAAGCTTTCTATATCCACTCCTGGTTTCAAGAAGTATCTTCCTGGAGCTTGATATATAGCAATCTACCACCAGAAATGCATGTGTAAAATATTACAACTATTGTGGTAAGAATATTATTCACTTATCTTTTCTTCTTTCAGCAGAACTACAGCAATTTCATCTACCATTTACCTTTTTTATAATGGGCTCAATTTGCTTGGCTGAGTTCGGGAATGTGTCTCCAACAGCTTTCTCCAGTGCCTAAAACCCAGAAGATATTTTAAGCGGAAAAAAAACAAGAAGCTGATGCAGTAAAGAGATGTACTTAAGAATTTTTAACAAGTACTCCATGTCAACCAAAAAAAAAACAACCAAAGGAAAATGGACTTCTTTGTTTTAAACTTACACTCTACCTCCTACAACACAATGCTAAATTAACAAAGGTACAATTTAGTTCACATGCTTACCTTAAGACTCATCCCCTTGGACTGGTTCTCCATAAGTAGAGAAATCAACATGCTACGCAGGTAGGTAGGCGTAGAGCCTGCATGCCTTTTACGCCCTACTTTATCATGTGAAGAACTTGTGGTCACCTTGCTAGGAATTTCTTTGTCAGAGCTAGTAGCCTTAGTCATGGTTTGAGCTGGTATCACATCATCCACAGCAATATGGCCCTTCAAAAGATTGGCATTGTCAAATGGAGATGCTGGAGCACCAGATAGTTCAGGGGGAGAAGACAAAGGTGAAGCAGAAGGCTTTCCCTTTGAATGAGTTGTTGCAGAGGAGCCAGATTTGTAAGCAGATCCGTAAGCCCCCCCTGCAATTCATAAAGTTCAATGAAAGATAGGAAACATAACACCATCAAAACAGTGAAATTATATTCAAGACATCCCTCCTTTCCAACACCTGGACATGAAATAAACTGACTGGACTACTNCTGGACTACAAGCAGAAAACATCTAATAAGAAACCTCTAAACTTCAGCTCCCAAATTACCTGGAGGTGGTTCTGCCTTTCGCTTTTTGAAAGGAGGCTCTTTCTTTTGCTTGAAACCCATCCTCCATGGATTGGCTGAAGAGACAAAGAGTTAGATTTACATCAAACTGCAATATCAGAAATTAAACATATACCATCATTATAGATCATTCATCTAGAGAAAACTAATGTTCTCCATAGTATATGTTCAATAAACAAAAGAGACACTACAGAAGATCAAGCTTACACATCATCATCCTGAAGATCAAGCTTACACATCATCTGCTTAACTATAGCGTTTAAACGACTGCTGTTTCATAGGT